TAATTTTATTAATAAAATTATTATAATTTTATTCAGATCTCCTTTTCTGTCTTTTTCCCAGCTGTCTAACAAAAAGAATATTAAACGATACAGCAAAATTAAGGCTACAGATCAATGAAACGGGCATAAATCAACGCGCGGCAGACTCGAGAAAGATTTACAACTGAGATGGGAGGCAGGCCAAGCCCTTCAGATGTAATAGATATTCTCCCGTGCTCGAGAATTCTTTAAACAGGTCACATCCTGGGGAAGCATTCCCTTTTATTTGCCCCCCCCCCCCCGTTCTCTTCCCTAGAATTGGGATCAAGAGAGATGTTTCCCCCCTACTTTTACGGCGAGGGGAAAGAAAAGAGCAGGTTAGATTGTGCCCACTTTCTGGCCTTACACGTTTTCCAACCCATTTGGGAATTGAGCGTCTCTCAGCATCTCCACTCTGGAGGTTGAAATATTTGGCTTTGTTTTTAAATTGCCTGGCTGTTTGGGTTCTTCTATTATTATCTTACTTCCTCCTAAGGATCAATTTCAGCCTTCAGTGAGGAACTGCTCAACTCAGAGGGGTTAGTAAATTAAGAGGTGCCAATGGGCTCTTCAGCAGCTCTACCAGGAGCAACAGAGAGGCTTAATTCAAGGAGCACCGTAGAATGAGTAACCTGTGGCTCTTACTTGGGAGTAGGGATTTATTTCCAGCTTCTTTTCACTGGATTTTGAGAGTCTGTTGTTATTGTTGTCCCTTCCTTCCTTTACTCTGTCCCTCTTTCTTTCTTTCTTTCTTTCTTTCTTTCTTTCTTTCTTTCTTTCTTTCTCTTTCTTTCTTCTTCCTCCCTCCCTCCCTTCTCCTTCCTTCCTTTCCTTCCTTCCTCCTCCACCCTTTCCTTCTTTTTCCTTCCTTCCTTCTTTCTTTCCTTCCTTCCTTCTCCCGCCCTCCTTCCTTCCATTCTTTCTTTCTTTTTCTTTCTTTCTTCTTCCTCCCTCCCTCCCTTCTCCTTCCTTCCTTCCTCCCCCTCCCTTTCCTTTTTTCCTTCCTTCTTTCTTTCCTTCCTTCCTTCTCCCGCCCTCCCTCCCTCCATTCTTTCTTTCTTCTTCCTTTCTCCCTCCCTTCTCCTTCCTTCCTTTCCTTCCTTCCTCCCCCTCCCTTTCCTTCTTTTTCCTTCCTTCCTTCTTTCCTTCCTTCCTTCTCCCGCCCTCCCTCCATTCTTTCTTTCTTTCTTTTCCTTCTTCCTTCCTTCACTCCTTTTTTTCTTTCTTTTCTTCCTCCCGCCCTCCCTTCTCCTCCCTCCCTTTCCTTCCTTCCTCTCTTCCTCCCCCTCCTCCTTTCTTTTTCCTCTTTCCTCCCTCCCTCCCTCTACCCTGTCTCCCTCCCTCTCTCTTTTCTTTCTTTCTTTCTTTCTTTCTTTCTTTCGTTGTATCCCACCCTTATTGGGGTTTTTTTTACAAATAACTCAAAGTGGTGAATATATCCACAACACCTTCCTCCTCCTATTTTCCCCACTACCGCTTCTGTGGGGAAAACCTGAGGGAGAGAAGGGGAGAGGAGAGGTCAATGGTAACTACTCATTAATTTTCAAGCTGTAGGTATTGATTTATCAAGCCCCATCAGATAGTTTCTTAGCAGAGCACGGGTTTTCAGCTAGTGTGTGTGTGTGTGTGTGTGTGTGTGTGTGTGTGTGTGTGTGTG